CCAGTTGTCGGTCATCCCAGTTGTCAGTCATCCCAGTTGTCAGTCACCCCAGTTGTCAGTCATCCCAGTTGTCAGTCACCCCAGTTGTCAGTCATCCCAGTTGTCAGTTGTCAGTCATCCCAGTTGTCAGTTATCCTAGTTGTCAGTCACCCCAGTTGTCAGTCATCCCAGTTGTCAGTCATCCCAGTTGTCAGTCACCCCAGTTGTCAGTCACCCCAGTTGTCAGTCACCCCAGTTGTCAGTCATCCCAGTTGTCAGTTGTCAGTCATCCCAGTTGTCAGTCATCCCAGTTGTCAGTCATCCCAGTTGTCAGTCACCCCAGTTGTCAGTCACCCCAGTTGTCAGTCACCCCAGTTGTCAGTCATCCCAGTTGTCAGTCATCCCAGTTGTCAGTCACCCCAGTTGTCAGTCACCCCAGTTGTCAGTTATCCTAGTTGTCAGTCATCCCAGTTGTCAGTCACCCCAGTTGTCAGTCATCCCAGTTGTCAGTTATCCCAGTTGTCAGTTGTCAGTCACCCCAGTTGTCAGTTATCCCAGTTGTCAGTCACCCCAGTTGTCAGTCACCCCAGTTGTCAGTCACCCCAGTTGTCGGTCATCCCAGTTGTCAGTCACCCCATTTGTCAGTCACTATGAACTATGTTCAATGGACCTTTTTGTAATTGGCCTAATTGCAGGACTAAAAAAGTTATTACTGGTGTTGTTTTGCCTTCTAACAGTTTATGATAGAAAACGTAACTGTATTTGTAATGAGTTGTGTTATTACTTAAACAATAATCAGAGAAGTAAGGGAGTTCTTACTTTACTTAGAGATCATTGAGAGCAGGGGTCACCATGAGGTGTACTGAGAAGTACAGCACCAATCATCTAAAGATCTGAGTTTGAAACATTTGTAAAAACTACCCAACTATTAAAAGACACCAGTTTACCACTAGACCTATTTATATGCCAAGTTTGGTGAAGAAATATTGTACGGTTTTCAAGAGCTGTGACAAGTTTGGTGATTTTCAATCTAAGTCAAAAGTCGTAGCCAAGGAAACTCGAATAACACATTTCTTTTTTAAATCCAAAACAATCAAAAGGCACCAGTTACCACTAGAACTGTTTATGTGCCAAGTTTGGTGAAGAAATATTGTACGGTTTTCAAGATCTGCTCCGGAATCGAGCACAACTGCCATTTTCAGTCAAAAGTCATTGCCAGGGAAACTTGAATAATACTTTTTTAAAAAAAATCCCAAACTGTCAGAACAGCAGTCTGAACCACTTCTCCAACTCATATCTAATTCCCTTCAAACACAACACAGAACAGCAGTCTGAACCCCCTCTCCAATTCATGTCTTCCCTTCAAACACAACACAGAACAGCAGTCTGAACACCCTCTTAAAGTCAGGTCTAATTCCCTTAAAAAATAACACAGAACAGCAGTCTGAACACCCTCTTAAACTCATGTCTAATTCCCTTCAAACAGAACACAGAACAGCAGTCTGAACACCCTCTTAAACTCATGTCTTCCCTTCAAACACAACAAAGAACAGAAGTCTCAACCCCTCTCCAACTCATGTCTTCCCTTCAAACACGACATAGAACAGCAGTCTGAACCCCCCCTCCAACTCACGTCTAATTCCCTTCAAACACAACACAGAACAGCAGTCTGAACACCCTCTCCAACTCATGTCTAATTCCCTTCAAACACAACACAGAACAGCAGTCTGAACCCCTCTTAAACTCATGTCTAATTCCCTTCAAACACAACATAGAACAGCAGTCTGAACCCCTCTTAAACTCATGTCTAAATCCCTTCACACACAACACAGAAAAGCAGTATGAACCCCTCTCCAACTCATGTTTAATTCCCTTCAAACACAACACAGAACAGCAGTCTGGACCCCTCTTAAACTCATGTCTAACTCCCTTCAAACACAACACAGATCAGCAGTCTGAACCCCCTCTCGATGAGCATGTGTAATTACCCATATGGCTTATTTTATTTATTCTATTGGCTTCACCTCTCCCTCTGTTAAATTTTTCATCATTTGAACACCCTCATCCCAGAGTTGCCATCGGCCCCTGCAGTGACATTGCTTTACCTGCCACAACCTAGAAAACACTAATCATGCTGCAGCAACAAAACATAAGTTTTCTGAGAGCGATAAAACTGTTTTCTGCTTTCATTTCTTAAGCCAGGTAGTTCGTGAAAACAATTCCTATATTTGCACTCATAAATCAATGACTTAACTCAACATGTAATGAATTTTTCCATGTCATTATCTGTTTCTGAAATAGCGGGAGCAGGATAGGAAGCTACTTGCAGTTCATTACTTACTCATCTGTTGACGTCTTGACAGGAAAATAAAAAAGATTCATAATCCACAGATCAAAATAGTACTAATGACACACACAACAGATGAGAACATGTCCACAATCTTCACTAATGACACACACACAACAGGTGAGAACAAGTCCACAATCTTCACTAATGACACACACACAACAGGTGAGAACATGTCCACAATCTTCACTAATGACACACACAACAGGTGAGAACAAGTCCACAATCTTCACTAATGACACACACACAACAGGTGAGAACAAGTCCACAATCTTCACTAATGACACACACACAACAGGTGAGAACATGTCCACAATCTTCACTAATGACACACACACACAACAGGTGAGAACAAGTCCACAATCTTCACTAATGACACACACACAACAGGTGAGAACATGTCCACAATCTTCACTAATGACACACACAACAGGTGAGAACATGTCCACAATCTTCACTAATGACACACACAACAGGTGAGAACATGTCCACAATCTTCACTAATGACACACACAACAGGTGAGAACAAGTCCACAATCTTCACTATTGACACACACACAACAGGTGAGAACAAGTCCACAATCTTCACTAATGACACACACACAACAGGTGAGGACATGTCTACAATCTTCACTAATGACACACACAACAGGTGAGAACATGTCTACATTCTTCACTAATGACACACACACAACAGGTGAGAACATGTCTACAATCTTCACTAATGACACACACACAACACACGAGGACATGTCTACATTCTTCACTAATGACACACACAACAGGTGAGGACAAGTCTATGATCTATACTAATGACACACAACAGATGAGAACATGTCTACAATCTTCACTAATGACACACACACAACACACGAGGACATGTCTACATTCTTCACTAATGACACACACAACAGGTGAGGACAAGTCTATGATCTTCACTAATGACACACAACAGGTGAGAACATGTCCACAATCTTCACTATTGACACACAACAGATGAGAACATGTCCACAGTCTTCACATATCACACACAACAGGTGAGAACAAGTCTACATTCTTCACTAATGACACACACACAACAGGTGAGAACATGTCTACATTCTTCACTATTGACACACACACAACAGGTGAGAACATGTCTACATTCTTCACTATTGACACACACACAACAGGTGAGAACATGTCTACATTCTTCACTAATGACACACACACAACAGGTGAGAACATGTCTACATTCTTCACTAATGACACACACACAACAGGTGAGAACAAGTCTACAATCTTCACTAATCACACACAACAGGTGAGAACATGTCCACAGTCATCACTTATCACACACAAAACAGGTGAGGACAAGTCCATTCACTATTATAGCTTTAAGTTGTTAGATTTTGCTGTTAAGTCACCCACATGTTGCAGTGGTCTGTTTGTGAAGATGGGCCTCCTAATTTCCCTTCCTTCTTGATGCCAGGTCACTCAGTAGCGACCCTTTTGAACGCCCCACTTCATGGAGGAAAGAGAGATAAGGATGGCAGAAAGCAAATGGGACATTTCTAATTAGTGCTAACTTATTGATGACAATGTACAAACATATTCTTCTGGACACAGAAAGGGCAGGTTGGTATATAATATGAATAACAGAGATATTAAGCTTAACCTCAGTAAATAGGCTGTAGAGAATAGCCTGGTTAAATACCTTCATCAGGAGAAAAAGACTTGGAGTCAAATGCTTGGCTCTCAAACAGTTCTCCACGCAAATAGTTGGTATAAATTCTTACAGTTCATTTCATAGTTGATGCCAACTGGATCTTTACACCAAAAACTAGATGATGATGTGATAGAGGTTTCATTGGGAGAGCGATTACAAACAAATCACCAACCACTCTTTCTGTGGTAAGGAGGATGCTTTAACCACCTTCAGGTAAGATTTCTTCAGTCAGGTCTATTTTCAGTTCCCTGTCAAGCATCCTGATTACCTGGTTTGGTATTCATGATCCAGGTAATAATACAGAGTAAAACATATTGTGTTGCTGAAATGTTGAATGTTATTTTCATGCAGTCAAAATACTAAGCAAAAGCCCTATTTTGATAAGTTTCTGCAAATGTTATTGTTTCAGGTTTATGCAATGAAGTGTTGAAAAAGCTAAACAGGTCAACTCCACTTTATTAAGGTAAGAGGGGTGGCTGAAAAGCTCTAGGCCTAACTATAATGAACTGCATTGATAGAGTTGATTGCTACTTATTTTTCAACAAAATCCCCTCATCATTTGCAAAATGCTTGCCAGACAGTTTGGGAAGAGGTGGAAATCTGATGGTTCCAAATCTGGCGTAAAGGATGTTCAATGAGTACAAAGCCAGTCTTGCATTGCAGCCATGGTTGTGGACAGATGAATTTTTATGTTTCCTGCCCCCCACCCCCCACCCAATATTGAAGCTTTGAAACGAATTTTAGTTGACAGTATAGATACATATATCATAAATGGCATACTTTGACTCGTTAAACTTAAACGTCATATTTGTCATAGTTTGACCATTAAATGTCAACAAAGTTTCATGATTACAAGTGAGAAAGCCTCGACGGTGACTGGTCAAACTCAGATCTTAATTGGCAGAATATAACACATATAAGTCTAAACAAAACCTTTACTGTTTGAGTGTTAAACCATATACTGACCACCACCCCTCTGGTTGAGATAACATTCCATGTTGTCACAGTCAATCTTGGTACGACAGAAAATAAGGGCCTTGTCCATCTTGTGTTCCTCCAGAGCTCGGACACAGTATTCCCCTTTCAAGATCTTCACGGCCTCTGACAGCACCTCTACAACACACAGAGAGAAACATGACATATGATGCCCATTCACAACTAGAATCCATACATGAATAAGTCATATTGCAGCAACATGAAGACAGAGGACACTTCACTCAGAAATGTCGGGGAATCCCAATAATACAGTCGAGGGAATTCCCTTTCATGCAGAGGACATTTAGCGACTTTCATGCATATTCATTGTAAAAACTACCCTTTGAAACAGCCTTCTCTCGGACACATTTCTTCCGGTTCGTTACAGTCTGACTGTTGAAGTTCTTTTCGCCTCCTGCCGTAATTGAAAGGTCCAACGAACATTGTTTTGATCCTACTCTACGTAGGCTACTGACTGTGTAGGCGTGTCAAGTTATGTGCATAAATTAAACAATCACCTGACTCATGTCACGCCACAGTATGTATTCCTAAACCTGGAATGTTTATCAATCTCTTCATTTTTGTCTGTTTTGATATATACAACTGTTTTTGGTTAAACTATTGTAGATAAAACATGTTTTACGTTGTCGAATTTAACTATAAGCATTGACTGTGTATTTTTTTCTGTTCATTGAGGTGTGAATCGAAAAACCGATGTGCAAAGTTTTATGCGGATTCATACAGTTTGCACATCATTTTTTTTATTCATACCTCAATGAACCGAAAAAAAATACACAGTTAATCCTTAAATAAATGGATTAGTGAAAATCAGTGATGCCAGGTTTTCAAGACAAGGGTGAGCCTACCATGCCCTACTCAGGTTGGACCCGCCACTCACACAATGTGCATGAAAGGAAGAGTTTTTAGCAAGATGCCACACAGCAATACTCCCGCTACACGAATGCTATGAAATTTTATTTTCAACATCACCACATATGCTGGCCCTGGAAATGTTCACTGCATGTATATATGGCACAAACCTTAATTATAAGATTATACAACAGACCAGACTATAAACATACACGTCACAGGAGGTGAGGTAACGTTATGTCCAAGATTATTGCACTTATATAGCAATGTGCATAGTGCCAACCCACTGAGATACCATGCCATAGTTTAACATGAATACCCCACCAATGAACAATAAACTGACTGAGCTGACTAGTCCTTGTTTTAGCCCCTTAATGCCATGCAGCAGACAGGGTAACAACACGTACAATCTTGTAACATCTTTTGGCAGCAGTCGGGGATCGTACCCATGACCTTCCACTCTCCGGGCAGATGCTCTACCACTAGAGCGACTGGGACATCCAGGGGAGAGACATCCAGGACATGCAGACCGACTGGGACATCTAGGACAGTCAGCGACGACCGCATGTCCGAGACAACTACTCCTTGGATGGAATGTCCGACTGGGACATCTATGACAGTGAGTGACCGACTGCATGTCCGAGACGACTACACCCTGGATACAATGTCTGACTGGGACATCCAGGACATGCAGACCGACTGGGACATCTAGGACAGTCAGTGACGACCAAATGTCCGAGACAACTACATCCTGGATACAATGTCTGACTGGGACATCTATGACAGTCAGTGACGACCGAATGTCCGAGACAACTACACCCTGGATACAATGTCTGACTGGGACATCTATGACAGTCAGCGACGACCGAATGTCCGAGACAACTACACCCTGGATACAATGTCTGACTGGGACATCTATGACAGTCAGTGACGACCGAATGTCCGAGACAACTACTCCCTGGATACAATGTCTGACTGGCACAGCACATCTAGGACAGTCAGCGACGACCCCATGTCCGAGACAACTACTCCTTGGATGGAATGTCCGACTGGGACATCTATGACAGTGAGCGACGACCCCATGTCCCAGACAACTACTCCCTGGATACAATGTCTGACTGGGACATCTGTGACAGTGAGCGACGACCACATGTCCGAGACAACTACTCCCTGGATACAATGTCTGACTGGGACATCTATGACAGTGAGTGACGACCCCATGTCCCAGACAACTACTCCCTGGATACAATGTCTGACTGGGACATCTAGGACAGTCAGCGACGACCGTATGTCCGAGACAACGACAACCTAGATACAATGTCTGACTGGGACATCTATGACAGTGTGCTATGACCCCATGTCCCAGACAACTACACCCTGGATACAATGTCTGACTGGGACATCTAGGACAGTCAGCGACGACCCCATGTCCCAGACAACTACTTCCTGCATACAATGTCTGACTGGGACATCTAGGACAGTCAGCGACGACCACATGTCCGAGACAATTACTCCCTGGATACAATGTCTGACTGGGACATCTAGGACAGTCAGCGACGACCACATGTCCGAGACAACTACTCCCTGGATACAATGTCTGACTGGGACATCTATGACAGTCAGCGACGACCCCATGTCCCAGACAACTACTCCCTGGATACAATGTCTGACTGGGACATCTGTGACAGTGAGCGACGACCCCATGTCCGAGACAACTACTCCCTGGATACAATGTCTGACTGGCACAGCACATCTAGGACAGTCAGCGACGACCCCATGTCCGAGACAACTACTCCTTGGATGGAAATTTCTGACTGGGACATCTATGACAGTGAGCGATGACCTCATGTCCCAGACAACTACTCCCTGGATACAATGTCTGACTGGGACATCTGTGACAGTGAGCGACAACCGCATGTCCGAGACAACTACTCCCTGCATACAATGTCTGACTGGGACATCTAGGACAGTCAGTGACGACCCCATGTCCGAGACGACTACACCCTAGATACAATGTCTGACTGGGACATCTAGGACAGTGAGCGACGACCCCATGTCCGAGATGACTACTCCCTGCATACAATGTCTGACTGGGACATCTAGGACAGTCAGTGACGACCGAATGTCGGAGACGACTACTCCCTGGATACAATGTCTGACTGGGACATCTAGGACAGTCAGCGACGACCCCATGTCCGAGACAACTACTCCTTGGATGGAATGTCCGACTGGGACATCTGTGACAGTGAGCGACGACCCCATGTCCCAGACAACTACTCCCTGGATACAATGTCTGACTGGGACATCTAGGAGAGTCAGCGACGACCACATGTCAGAGACAACTACACCCTGGATACAATGTCTGACTGGCACAGCACATCTAGGACAGTCAGCGACGACCACATGTCCAAGACAACTACTCCCTGGATACAATGCCTGACTGGGACATCTATGACAGTGAGCGACGACCCCATGTCCCAGACAACTACTCCCTGGATACAATGCCTGACTGGGACATCTAGGACAGTCAGTGATGACCCCATGTCCCAGACAACTACTCCCTGGATACAATGCCCGACTGGGACATCTATGACAGTGAGCGACGACCCCATGTCCCAGACAACTACTCCATAGATACAATGTCTGACTGGGACATCTAGGACAGTCAGCGACGACCACATGTCCGAGACAACTACTCCCTGGATAAAATGCCTGACTGGGACATCTATGACAGTTAGCGATGACCTCATGTCCCAGACAACTACTCCTTGGATACAATGTCCGACTGGGACATCTAAGACAGTGAGTGACCGACTGCATGTCAGAGACAACTACACCCTGGATGCAATGTCTGACTGGGACATCTAAGACAGTGAGCGACGACCCCATGTCCCAGACAACTACACCCTGGATACAATGTCTGACTGGGACATCTAGGACAGTCAGCGACGACCACATGTCCCAGACAACTACTCCCTGGATACAATGTCCGACTGGGACATCTAAGACAGTGAGTGACCGACTGCATGTCAGAGACAACAAGGATCTCAGAACATATCCACATCTCCTGACTCACACAGAAAGAAGGATCTCAGAACATTTCCACATCTCCTGACCCACACAGAAAGAAGGATCTATAGGCATGATTCTAACCTTCCTCAGAACACTTCAACATCTCCTGACCCACACAAAAAGAACGATCTATTGGCAGGATTCTCACCCTCCTCAGAACATTTCCACATCTCCTGACCCACACAGAAAGAAGGATCTATAGGCATGATTCTCACCCTCCTAAGAACACTTCCACATCTCCTGACCCACACAAAAAGAAGGATCTATAGGCATGATTCTATCACCTTCCTCAGAACATTTCCACATCTCCTGACCCACACAAAAAGAAGGATCTATTGGCAGGATTCTCACCCTCCTCAGAACATTTCCACATCTCCTGACCCACACAAAAAGAAGGATCTATAGGCATGATTATCACCCTCCTCAGAACACTTCAACATCTCCTGACCCACACAAAAAGAAGGATCTACAGGCATGATTCTATCACCCTCCTCAGAACACTTCCACATCTCCTGACCCACACAAAAAGAAGGATCTATTGGAATGATTCTCACCCTCCTCAGATCACTTCCACATCTCCTGACCCACACAAAAAGAAGGATCTATAGGCATGATTATCACCCTCCTCAGAACATTTCCACATCTCCTGACCCACACAAAAAGAAGCATCTATAGGCATGATTCTCACCCTCCTCAGAACACTTCCACATCTCCTGACCCACACAGAAAGAAGGATCTATAGGCATGATTCTATCACCTTCCTCAGAACATTTCCACATCTCCTGACCCACACAAAAAGAAGGATCTATTGGCATGATTCTCACCCTCCTCAGAACATTTCCACATCTCCTGACCCACACAAAAAGAAGGATCTATAGGCATGATTATCACCCTCCTCAGAACACTTCAACATCTCCTGACCCACACAAAAAGAAGGATCTACAGGCATGATTCTATCACCCTCCTCAGAACACTTCCACATCTCCTGACCCACACAAAAAGAACGATCTATTGGAATGATTCTCACCCTCCTCAGATCACTTCCACATCTCCTGACCCACACAAAAAGAAGGATCTATAGGCATGATTCTCACCCTCCTCAGAACATTTCCACATCTCCTGACCCACACAAAAAGAAGGATCTATAGGCATGATTCTCACCCTCCTCAGAACACTTCCACATCTCCTGACCCACA